TCAGGATCTGTTTCAAACGATTCTGGACCAACACACGACTGCTGCATCCTCCTGTGGTGCAGTTGCAAGGGTCTGCTGGCATTCTCCGAGGTGGTGAGGCTGGAAGTGAGGAGCACGAGTGCAGCTGGCGGGCTGTTTAAAAAGTGGGTTGGCCCGCCCTCTGACCAATGGTGTGGCTGGAATCCGGCGCGGCAGCAGGTGAGCCAGCCAATCCAAGGTCACCACCTGCTCCTAATTCATTCGTCACCACACACATGCACACACACTCACACTGAGGACAGACACAGGCAGCAAAAACACAAAACACCACCGATGACCCGCACAGGGTCATAACACAGTATCTTGACCTTACTATTTAAAGTGCCATTAGATGATTTATGTTGAAATATAACACTGTAGAAATTAAATGCATGGAAATATACAGTATAGTCATAATGTACTTATCTCTCCAGTGCATAGCCTACCTATACAGTCCTATACAGTACGTTCATACTGTGCATGCCTCTGTAATGTAAACTCTACACATACAGTATGTTCATATTGTTTTTACAAAATTCTGGCATCCATTACTAATGCCTATTCTTGTTGCTGCTGTCTCTGTGCTTGCACCATGGCAATGACACTTAATCTAATCTAATGTAAACCAGTGAATTGATTGAAACGCTGTTGCACGAGGCTCTACGTTCTGTTCAAATATGCAAACACAAAGCAGAGAACCTGCGAGGCTTTTATTCAGAGGGACACCCAGAAAAGGTGAACTTATTAAACGTTCAACACACACCACCAACGTTACAGAGCTGCAGAGGCATGAACCATGCAGCATAAAAAGCTGGTTATTCCTCTGTAGTGTTACAGCACCACCGCAGCACTTTATATTGTACTTCTCTTTTAGCTATTATATTGGCACATCATGTAAAGTTCACATAAGTGCTGCTCATAGTGAAATTAGATATCGTGGGGAATATTTTGCAAATAAAATTTATGCAAAATGAACCTTTAATCTCAGCAGGACCTAAAAACAGCTCACGAAGCACTGGTTATGAAAGGACATGCCAAAACCTAAAGTTTGCTGTCGGTTCTTTTAATTAATCCATTAAAAAAAGATGGATAATGCAACAAATTCACAGTTTATGTTGTGGATCTAGGTTTTGGTTTCTGTTTTTTTTTGTTTTATGTAATACATTCATGTGTGTTTTTCCTTTTCTCTGTTTCCTTTCGCTCGGGCTGTTTGTCGTGTCCCTTTTCGGGTTATTTCCTGTTTTATATTGAAATTGCCTTTCCTTGTGTGTCGCTTGTGTTTTTACTTCTGCCCTTTGTCCCTCTTTTTCCTCCCTTCTGATTTCCCTCATAACTTTCACCTGTGTCCAAACTCTTTAGTCAGTTTTAAGTGTTTAGTCTTGTCATGTTTGTCAGTTTGTCATGTTTGTCACCAGTTTACTGCTCTCCGGTTAGAAGAGAAGACTCCAACATAAACACTGACGCAAGTTTTGTGGGGATTCATTGTGTTTTATATGTATGTCCATAAATCGTCTCATCACTATGAACCAAATGGAAGAGTTTTACCAAATCACAAAAATGAAATATTTAATTCGGCATATGTTGCATTTGTCAAATAGATTAATTAAAAGTAATAAATACATTAACTTGCATACTTCCTCCTTATCAGTATCCATTTCCTTCCCTGTCTAGCCAGTGTGTCATAGGAAAAGCTAAGCTAAATAGATAAATGGTGATAAAGTTAAGTGTGTTTACAGTAGATGTAATACAATCATGCCACAGATAATATAAGCGTTTAAAAATAATTTGAAGTCTACACTTTAGATTTGTGGGACATGTATTTTACATGTAAACGAGAAATAAGAGTTTTAAACATACTTTGGTTCAGGGCTTCATTACATGCTGCAACACATGTGCAACTGCTGTTTATAGGTTTATAGTCACAAAACCAGAACCAGTCCAAAACCCAGGAAGAAAGACTCTAGACAAATCAGAGCCAGGTTCTGTGTCTGCTATGTTCAGTTCTGGCCAGACCATACTGTTAGAGGGGGGTCTGGTCCAAACTGACTAAAAAAAACGTACACATGCAGATAACAATGGTCAGAACTAACTAAAGGGCAGGCTTATAAAACTAAGTGGAGGAACAAAAGTGGAGATGACTAATCAAGAGAACTGAGGACTAACCAAACTCAACACAAAAAGGGGCAAAACTACAATAACCAGGAGATACTCTAAATTAACACCAAGGTAGAAACCTAAGGAAAACTGCTACGTCTTAAGCTAAAACCAACAAAACACGGATGCTCACAGAAGAGGGGACAAAACTGAGGAGGCAAGACAGGCTTGGGGAATCTGGGCTCTGGTGAGGACTGGGGGAAAAGCAGGAGCAGGGCTGGTGCTGAGTTTTTATAGGAGCTGGGGGGATTAGGTTCAGGTGAGCTGATTGCCACAGCTGTCTCCTATAGCTGTCATCAGGGAGGCTGCGAGCAGGTCTGGAGTGACTGAGAGGGTGAGCAAGGAGGAGACGGACAAGTAGAGAGGACGGAGAAGAGAGGGAGAGGAAGAGAAAAAGAGGGAGACAGGCAAAGGCTGGGGCTGAGGCTGGAGGGGTCACTACAGGGCGGTGTTTTGGAGGACATGACCTGTGTTCATTGTTAGTTAAATGACAGAGGTGATTATTTTCTGTGCACAAAGGTAACTCAAATACCCTGTGCTGCCATGACTTTGCATAAGTGATATCATTCAGTATTGCGTCCTTTGCATGAAGAATGCATTTTCTGTTGAATGCACAACCACTTGGAGACACACCAGCCATACTGTATGTTCATATGTGTCACTTTAATAAACAGTAAATGTGTGCATCAGCTTTGCAGGAGAGTTTTCTATGACTGTGAACATGCATTCAGATCCAAATAGAGCAGCACTACAGCTGTGTGAAGTGACAAAGTTCAGGTCCTTGTCTTGGACCTTTCATCCAGTTTAAATGTTCTGCAGGTTCTGGACCTTTCCCCCGCATGCAGCTGATGATACAGTAATAAGGAAGAGTTAAAATAACTATCAAGGGCTGACACAGCTAATCCATCAGCCTATACTGATAAGAAGGAACATATTTTTTTATGGTGATGAAATGGCACATTTTTATTTGTCCTATGATCGGTGTCTGCATGTCAAGTTCACTACTGGCACGACTTCATTTGCAGGTCTCACTATTGTAAAACCTAAGCCACATAGTGGGTTGAAGAATATTCAAAATAGGACTTCTTTCTGAAAACACTAGACGTGACCAAAATGTCCTCATGATCTCAGGATTGAAATGCATCAGTATTTACATTAAATCTAAATCTAAAGAACTCTGTCATCTGCATTTATTCATTCAACCTCTATTTATGCAGGGCGGTGCCGTGAGCAGTGGCTCTTTTTCTCAATGGGTGCAGTATAAACAATACAACGGTTAACTAAACAGCTTATAACAAAGGATAAGGTTGGAACTGAGAAAGGGTGATAAAGGGCATCACATTAAATGCTTGATGAATTGCTTGTTGAGCAGAAACAGTCGTACGAGCAAAAAAGCAGAGACTGTGCAGGCCGAGCACAATGAAAACTCATGTGCACCTCAGGAACTATCACATGAGACAGCCTGCACGCTGATGAAGACGCAGATACAACTTCATCTTCAGTGGCAAGAACATTAAATGAGCAAAGACGGCATAAGTAGGAGGGAGATTGTTTGATGCACAAATAAACTCTGATTCATCAAAGTATTGAAAAGCATTTCTGATGCAAACATGAAATAAAACTGGATTGTGTGTGTTTTGTTCAAAGGAAAGGGCTGTGAGCAGAACCACATGGTTTTCCTTGTGATTTTTGCAGCAAGTTGTCCTTAGATTATAAAATGTGGTAAATAAATAATCTGTTTCCAAATAAAGTTTACTCTACTCCACCGCCCTGTTGATACTGGAACCTGCTCAACTGCACTTTGTCCAGAGTTCAAGAACAGACTGAAAAAAAAAGACACAAAGGAATTCTCGCCTACGTGAACAATCTGAATAGCCAGCGCATTGTTTTTTTTTTTTTTTGCACGTCTAACATTTAGATCTTAGATGTGAGGATAAATTATATAGGTGGTGTCACTTACATGCAACATGGAGTAGCGATATGATTGTTTAATGTGCATGGCTGTGCCAGAGCAGGGGTTCTGTCCCCTCCCCTTGTACGTGCAGGTTTGATTGCGCTTAGTCACTGTGACTGTTCAAATGTCTCCACCTCAGGCTGCACATGCAACAAGAAAAGAGCAAAACTGCAGAAATAGATTACAATATAAACTACAAATGAGAACAACAGTCACAGGTTTCAGCAGTTGCATATTCCTTTAGTAACATTTGTGCAACTTCAGTAATAAAAACTATATGAAATAAGCAACGAGCACATGGAGTCACATGACAGGAATAAACGTACTTTTAATGCAGCTATGCACTTACTTTTTCTACCATGTGTTTGCTTTTTACGCTTTTTCACCGCAAGACAACACAACATAATTATAGTTCTTATTGCAAGGAAAAACCTGATTATTAGTCATAATTTCAGCATATAGATGCAATTCATTTAAGTTTGCATCAGTATAGTCTTGTTTAAGTGCTTCTTTTGTGGCTTCATGTGAGCTGCATGCAAAACACAAAGAGTTTCAGCACAAAGCAAGAGAAGTCCCTCCTTCACACATATGACTTTGTCGGTGCCCGTGGACACAAGCAGCTGGATGCATAATAATCCGCATAAAAACTGTTTAATAAAGTCAGCTGTGCAGTGTGGGGACCGAAATGTCTGGACTGAAAAGTCACACTGCTGTTGTTTGGCAGAAGGTGCCCCGTTTAACCTGCTTAGATAAGGAGGGAGTTATTTTAACTTCCTTGAGTCAGAGATCTTGGGCGATAACACAAAAATGGGAAGGGGCCTAATTCCACCAATCCCGATGCAGTGGGCAGGAGCTTCTTATAAAATCAGACATCCGTTACATTCCAGTTCCACTCCTCTCTTCTTTCAACACATACAGCTTCAGCCGGTGCACTTCTCTCTGGAACCATGGCCAAGGACATGACTCTGCTGTGGGGCTCCGGCTCTCCTCCCTGCTGGAGGATCATGATCATGCTGGAGGAGAAGCAGCTGAAAGGCTACAACCAAAAACTGCTCTCCTTTGAGAAAATGGAGCACAAGTCCAAGGAAGTCATGGATATGAACCCCAGAGGGCAGGTGTGTTCAAGTCAAACTCAACATTTACTTAGAAAATCCTCACACAACTTCATTCTGCATTCTGTTCCTGGAATGCATGAATTTATGTTCACTTTACTATTACACATGCTTAATTCTCACCTCTCTGTCTTAAAGCTTCCTGCCTTCAAAGCTGGGAAACATGTCCTGAATGAGTCCTACGCCGCCTGCTTCTTCCTGGAGGTGAGAACTTGGCTGAAGTCTTGAACTTGGCCCTAGTTAATATTTCATCTAGCCAAGGAGATAGTAAGTAGGAGGGCTGCTTCTGCTTGTAAGACAAACAGACACTCTACACCGCAAAGGCAAAGAAACCGGAGCTCCATGCTGGTCTTCATAGCAGTTACTCTTTTCTTGTTCCCAACAACAGAACCAATACAAGTCCCAGGGGACCAAGCTGATCCCCGACAGCGTCGATGCACAAGCACTGATGTACCAGCGCATGTTTGAGGCTTTCCCACTCGGCGAGAAAATAGGTATGTTAACCCTGATGTGTGTACTTGTTAGGTATTTCGCTCTTGTTTTGCAAGCCAAGACCCTCCTGCTGGCCCTGAAAATCCTCCATCTTGATAAAAAATGGACCAGATCATTTGAGTTTCTCCAAATTCCCTCTGAACCCCTTGCATTTAGTGAGTTTTTACAGACTATCCAGACTACTAAAGCTCAGTCGTAATTATGTGACTTAGCAGTTGCCGCCATTCTTTTGGGACTTCAGTGCACTTGGCAACATCATAAGACAACACTGCTGTTTTAAAACCACTGAGACTTCATGCAGGTTTCCTCAGAGGCAGCTTAACATCAGCTGCCTCCTCCCCATGAGACATGAAGTGTTCAACACACACGCTACGTACTAATGAGCTGTGCATTCAAATAATGAAGTCACGACACAATGCATTAAATCTGTGTGCTCCAAACCAGGTAGAGATGCTGAAGGGTCACATGTTAATCCCACAAAGGTGCTCAGATTGGTTCGCATGTAAAGCTAAAGTCATGAGACCAAGTGCTTTGTTTTTTCGAGGGAGGGGTGTAAAATTAAGATAGCCGAAGTCCCAATTCATTACAAGAGATAAATGGACTCTTCAAACTCCTATTTGAACTGTTTTTTCTCTCCTCAGTGTGAATCCAATGTTACATAATGAAGTCCTGACTGAGCCCAGCCACTGCTGGTGAAAGAGTTAAAGCCCAAACAGGACGTGGAAGTCAATGTTATGCAACATGAGCAGAGATTTTTCTGATATGCCTCATATCTCAGAAAATGGTCGTTACAGCTAAATTCCTGTTCTTGTGTTTCAGGGAAGGTTCTCTACTACAACTATATGGTCCCAGAGGAAGAGAGACACGACGCTGCTCTGCAGAGATACAAGGAGGCTCTAACAGCTGAGCTCCAGCTCTGGGAGGGATATCTGAAAAACCCGGTAAAGCTTACTAAACCCTTAACGCTCACAACACTAATTTATTAGCAAGAGGATGTAAGGAGTTTAGTGTTACAGTACAGCAGCAGCACTCTGTATTGTAGGTGTTGTTGTTTTATTTTAGCTATATTAAAAGTTCACACAAGTGCTGCTCCAAGTATCCTCATGAAACTGGATAATCAGGGAGGATTTTTACAACTACAGTTTATACGACGCAAAGATTTAACTTTAACCCTATTCAGGACTTTCATGTTGCCATATGTAGAAGGTCTTTCAGGGTCCATTGGACCTGAAGACAGAATATGTGCAAAATATTTGTTGGTATTCATTATAGACTTTTATAGTATGTTAAATAAATTTTATGATAAGTTGACATATATTTGGTTCCACATGCATGACAAATGTCCCTCTTTTTATATTTAAAAAAAAAAAAAAAATCTTCAAAAATAATTTAAAAAAAACCCCAATACCTGTCACCTAAACCAAATGGTCTGGAGTCCAAAAGACCCCAAAAGTCCTGAATAGGGTTCTTCTTGGCAGGATGAAGTTACAACAGGTTCATTTTTAGTCAATTCTTAAAGAAACACAAATGTTTAATCATTACAGCTGAGAGTTAGATGAGTAGATTGATATCTGAAGCTCAGCCCAGGTTACAAAAAGGCTGTACCAAAACAGTGTCACCTATGATGGATGTGAAATATTTATCTATTAAAGCTCTTGTGTTCTCTCCTCTAGGACTGTTGCCTGGTTGGAAAGGAATTTACATTGGCTGATGTGCTTGTTTTCCCAGTTGTTGCGTATCTATTCCGCGCTGGGTAAGTAGGTTAAACGGCTTTAAGCGGCTCATCAAGATAAATGGATGGAATAATAAACAGTAACATTTGCACAATTTAAAATGTCACACTGGCTTTTTCTCCTTTTGGTAGGTTGTGTAGTGAGCGTTACCCCGCACTGGCAAAATACTACAACTCTCTGAAGGACAGAGCCAGCATCAAAGCCTCCTGGCCTCCTACCTGGCACACCACCCCCGGATCGGACACACTGAAAACCATCTAAGACCCAGAGACTGACTCATCGGTGGACACGCTAACTGTTGTGTTTTGATATATAACCACTCCTTGCATTGCACTATTTTTCTTTTTTTTTCTTTCTTTCTTTCTTTTTTTAAACTGCATTTGTTTCTGCAACATACCATCATTTGTTTGTGACTCTAAATGCAAATTTGTTTTGTGCCGCAAACAAAAGCAATAAAAAGAGAATACCAACTTGAGTGCTTTTATTTTTTTCAAGGTCATCATCCACAGAGAATTCTTTTGGAATTCTTTTATGCATAAAATATAGGCCAGAGATCTGGACAGATGGGAGTAATACCATTTAAATAGAATGAGTAAAACTGTAGGTTTGTTTCTGCACAGAGATTTGACCGTCAGCATCAAACCAAGTGGAACTTTGATGCTCTTTTTCATTTTCAGTAAGGGTCAAAACGTCTTCCTCCCTTTCTTGCATTTTTACTGTTTTGACAGAAGAGGTCACTAGAACAAAAAGAAAACTGCTGCTTGTACTGTCTTCTGGTTTAATTTGGTATCATTCTACTCTTTGAACTGCTGGTTTCCTGTCATTCACCATTTGGGCAAAACTTGTACAGTCAGAACATGAACCGTGGGTTGTGTCACACCAAGACTTCAAACAAGACACTCGCAGAGTATAGACTGAGGCTCCTGTGGGG